CCCCCTTTTCTCTAAAAACTACGCCGATCTCGGACCTGCTGATCTCATTCTGATGTCATCGCTGCGACCGGTGTGCTGCATCGCCCCCCTCGAAGCCGTCCATAGTCCAGAGCTGTGACCGTACAATGATGAACACAATGGCCTTGCGGTTAACTCTCTGCGGTCCTGGAACTACAATACCCAGCATGCCCATGACCTATAGCATTGAACCATGTGACCAGATCCTGACACCCTTCGTGGTTGCTGAGAAAATATTGTCCTCATACAAGAGTCATGTGTATTTCTTCCACATCTGTGCAGTCATCCAGTGTGAGGAGCTTCCTGTAATAAAGACCGCTCACTGCTGATCTCTCTGCTTGGGCAGGGTGACTGGTCTTGTCTCCGCCCCCTCCTGTAATAAAGAATGGTCACTGTTGCTCTCTCTTCTTGTGCAGGGTGACTGGTCTTGTCTCCACCCCCTCGTGTAATACAGACCGGTCACTGCTGCTCTCTCCTTGTGCAGGGTGACTGGTCTTGTCTCCGCCCCTTCCTGTAATAAAGACTAGTGACTGCTCCTCTCTCTCCTTCTGCAGGGTGACTGGTCTTGTCTCCGCCCCTTCCTGTAATATAGACCGCTCCCTGCTGCTCTCTCTCCTTGTGCAGGGTGACTAGTCTTGTGTACGCTCCCTCCTGTAGTTTTCTGTAGTGGGTGGAGCCTGCTGGGTCCCTCCCTCTCACATAACAAAGCTGGTGCTTTTTAATTGGCTGTTTAGACACACTGCCATATGGGGGAGGAAGAGTCCCCACCATATCTTGGAGCTGTAGAGGGAGTAGACGGATGACCCTGACTCCGTAGTGGGAGTAGACGGATGACCCTGACTCCATAGTGGGAGTAGACGGATGACCCTGACTCTGTGGAGGGAGTAGACGGATGACCCTGACTCTGTAGAGGGAGTAGACGGATGACCCTGACTCTGTAGAGGGAGTAGACGGATGACCCTGACTCCGTAGTGGGAGTAGACGGATGACCCTGACTCCGTAGTGGGAGTAGACGGATGACCCTGACTCCGTAGAGGGAGTAGACGGATGACACGGATGGCCCTGACTCTGTATACAGCCCGCCTGCAGCTCAGCTTTCTGTGTCACCTTTAATGGATGCAATAAATGTTTTTTTTCTGCTGTCATTTCTGTCATTGTGATTATTATGGGATATTTTTGCTCAGAGGTAATGAAGACGTGTTCATATTTGACCTTTGCCTGCATTGGAGGAGCTCCGGACCAAGTCCAAGTAGGGCAAAACAAATGGCAAACGCACTCATCAACTTGTTACCAGCTTTACAGCGCGGTGCACACGGAAGGGCCTCGTACAGTACAACAGCAAAACGTTTCCCAGCACACTCACCAGCCAAGGTGCAAAAACAAAACCTGTGTCACCGCTAAGGTTAAAAACAGAGGTTTGGATACACGTCTTCTGCAGAACATGTGACAGCCGCGCCGAGGCACCTCATTTAGTGCGGTCCTAACTCTAAACTATGAGAGTCTCCATCTTGGAGCACATGTAGCAAAATATATAATTGGGTGCAGGTTTAATCAGGAGGAAGCCCAACCTCCCTTAAAAGAGAACTATTGGGTTAGGGCTTTTCCCCACAGTTCTCCTTAGGGTAACAGGAGGGGGAGTTCAGGGATTTGTCCACTCCTGCACCAAAGGAAAACACAGGGACTGTTGCTGGCCTCCTCCTCAGTCTACTAGTTCCCTGGCTATGTCTGGGAACAAGCACATGGATTGGAAAGTCAGACTGGTTGATGCAGGTCAGAGCCTCAGAAAGTACTGAAGCCATGGGATCAGTATGACAGCCAGGCAACTCGGAGAGGTCCACGCTGACGGCCTCTATATTGTGTCAGTACAGGTTTATACCCCGCGGAGTCTATGCTGTGCTGGACAGGTATTGGGGTGACTATACAGGTACGACTTCGGAGAACAGAAGGCAGTAAAAATAATTTATTTTTGGCAGTATAGAAAAATGTACACAGCACCCCACACACACAGATCCGGGGGAGAGAAGATGGCCGCCCGTCTATATTCTGCACTCAGGAACACACCACGTCCAGCCTCCTCCTCCTCCGCCGCTCACAGGTACTGAGGGGAGGTGACGCTCTCCAGCTCCACTTGTATGGACACAATGTGATGACCGGGGACCATGGCCAGACCCAGCACACGAGGCTCTCGCACGGGGAAAGTGTCTGTAGGGCAGAGACAGGGTTTTAGTGGAAAAGTATATAAAGAATACAAAATAAAAGATGGATAGATAGGATAGATAGATAGGATAGATAGATAGGATAGATAGATAGGATAGATAGATAGGATAGATAGATAGGATAGATAGATAGGATAGATAGATAGGATAGATAGATAGGATAGATAGATAGGATAGATAGATAGGATAGATAGATAGGATAGATAGATAGGATAGATAGATAGGATAGATAGATAGGATAGATAGATAGGATAGATAGATAGGATAGATAGATAGGATAGATAGATAGGATAGATAGATAGGATAGATAGATAGGATAGATAGATAGGATAGATAGATAGAGATATATATATATATATAAAAAAATGTTAACAAACATTTTATATACGATAAAGGATTCCTAGAGCACTAAAAGGAGCAGCACAGCAAAAGCAGCTCCCATTCAGGTTGTCTCGGTCTCATTGAAACATCTTAATGGATTGTCCTATATTGGATGACTTATTCGGCTCTGTGCTTAGCTTGAGCTACTGATCTCGGTGAACAACAGGCTTCTTCTACAACACTTTAGGTAAGTTAAGAAGAAAGTGTAAGGCCCAACAGCATTACCTTTCACATAAATAGTGATATTGCCCGTCTGACATCATCGGTTGTCCTCTGCTTAGTTACTAGATGACAGCAGGAAGGGGAGGAACTCTACATCTCAGTCTGGCGACATAGGCAGGTACCTGCAGATGACATATCCCACTAACCCTAGACAAATAGCCATTACACAGGGTGGTTCCTGGGAGTTTATTGGTGGGGTCCGGGCAGACCCTATGAGCACACTCTAGCCGTGAGCAATGCCCAGAGCAGGCATGGCTGACGTAATGACGTTCGCTCTGCCTATAGATAACTATACAAGGGTGGGGGATAGGCAACCGGTCACTGACTGCAAATGAAAGCAGCGGCACCGATCAGTCATTGAAGAAGGAAATAGCCGGCGCTCGCCGGTTCTAAGCCGCGCAACGTCATCATGCTTCTCAGTCCAGACACCTTTGTACATCAGTCCGGCATGACAACACAATCATGATTATTAATGTGTCTGCAGCTTTAAGACGGACTTCCTGCCAGTAGATGGCGCTCTATTCACACGTCTAACAGGCTAACCTGAAGCCAGAACACTGCCATGGATCTCCGGTCATAGAACACATCAAAGGTGCCCGACTGCTGCGGACTTCATCCATATGGTGAGGTGACGGCGCCCTATCCAGGACTTCTGGAAACAGATTGCTGACCTTACTGCAAGCTCCTTCCCCCAAAACTCAGGACCCCAGCGCTGCGCTTGTTGGGGGATCACGACGTACAAACACAAATGAAGAAATAAAGTCACCAGCACGCCAAATAGTAGTTTAGCAATCGTCCATTTAATGACACATTGCCATTCAATGCAAGCGTTTTCGGGGGCCTCAAAAGGTCCCCTTCAAGATTCTGAGCCTGATGAAGGGGACCCCCCTGAGGCCCCCGAAAGCGCTTGCATTGAATGGCAATGTGTCATTAAATGGACGATTGCTAAACTACTATTTGGCGTGCTGGTGACTTTATTTCTTCATTTGTGTTGTCCACGTTGCCACCCGCGGTCATTACAAGCACCCAACCGTCTACACGGGTCCCTTGGGTGTTCTGGTAAGGAGTGCAGCAAGACCTCTGGTTCTGCGCGACGTACAACAATCTCGTCATTCACCTTCCCTATGGAATGTAGTGGAAGGACCCGGGGCCACTGGATGCCGGTGATGAAGGACCATCTGTCTTTGTGTAATATGGTCACACGTTAACTGTTCCATACAATACGGGCCGAGCGGACGAGATGAAGAGATGAGTCTTTAGGGATCGCCTAAAGGCAGTCAGAGTGGGAGATAGTCGTACAGGTTGGGGTAAAGAGTTCCAGAGGATGGGAGAGACTCAAGAGAAGTCCTGTAGGCAAGTATGGGAGGAGTGGACAAGGGAGCTGGAAAGCAGGAAGTCTTTGGAAGAGCGGAGGGGACGGTTAGGGTGATACTTTGAGACAAGGTTTGAGATATAGCCGGGGTCAGAGTTGTGGATGGCTTTGTAAGCGATTGTTAATATTT